GGCCCCGTTCCTCTGGGTGTCCCGGGCTAGGGTACTGAGAGTCCAAGTCTAGGATGGTTCCAGGAGTGGGATGGAGGGAAGGTTGGGTGGGGAAGTCAGCAGGACTGTCAGTCATGACTCACATTCATGACACCCAGCAAAGCTGGAGGGAAACCAAGTTGGATCCCAAATAATATTTAATAACACTGCCATCAATAATAACCATTTATTGAGCACTTATAATTCGAGCACCCCAATTAACACTTTGTGCATTATCTCATTTAATCCTTTAAACGACTGTGTGAAGTGATTGTTATTCCCTTTTATGGAAGAGGAAATAGAGGCTCAGAGACCTTAATTAAGTCTCTTGCCCAGGGCAATTCAGAAGGAGAGGCAGAACTCAAACCCTTGCTCTTAAGAGGTTCCCTAGGATATCAGAGCCAAGTGACTGGCCTGGGAAATGGGGAGGTCAAGGGGCATGAAACCACCCTCTCATTTCCCAGACTGGCCCTTTTGGTGACTGAGACCCTGCTGCTATCTCTTGGGGAGCTGAAGGGTATCACAGAGATGCCTCCAGGGCCTGGACTCCCTGGGCAATGCCCCCTCCAAGGTAGATCGTCTACCTGGGACTTCCGCTTGGATGCTGGGGCCTTAAAGCTAGGGGAGGTAACTCAGGACCTCTCCCTCAATGAGCAGGCTCTTGGGGGTTGTGCACAGTGGCTAATCCCATTTTCCTTTTGTGCCCCACAGTGCCTGCAGACAGTGCTGGGTACCAGCCTCTTGCCCTTCTGCCCTTAATTCATGTGCTCCCTAAACCTGAAGCAGCCCTTTGGGGGTCACTTCATCAGGACCAGGTGAAAACAAATGTGCTCTTCTATTTCCTGGGGCTAGTCCTGTGTTGCCAGCTGAAACTGTGATCTCTTCAAGGTCCCCTCCCCCTAAGCCCATGTTGCCCATGGTGCTTGGCATGGGGCAGCCCAGTTCAGAGAACGGGCACTGACCGTGTTTGAATCCACTTCGTCACTTCCGGCTGTGTGACCTTGGGCAAGTGACCTGACCTCTTTAAGCTTCGAGGCCTCATCAGGACAAGGGGTAATAAAGACCTTTCTTTATAGGGTTGTTGTGCAGGTAAAGGGGCTCACTGATGAGGAGTATACACTTAGCACATGACTCTGGACCCCAAATGGGCTTAATAAATGATAGCACTTGCCACTGAAGACGGAAGGAATCTCCTTCCTAGGACAGCCTTCCCTGACCACTCTGTTTAAAGCAGGACTCATTTTTTCTTGCAGCACTTTTTCTTCAAAAGCACTCAGCCCAGTTTGTAATTATACACATATTTGTTTACTTGTCCATGAGAGCAGGGACTGTGTCTGTTTTCCACTGCTCGGCCCTTAGCACCAAGGGCAGAAACTCAGTAAATGTTGGCTGAATGAATGATACCCCCTCTCTGGTCCTCTTCACGCAGAGCAGGAGTAGGACTTTCTGCCTTTCTCGAAGGACTTGGCTTTCAGAACTCTATATATCCCTTACCCCCTCCTCCAGAGATGATCTTGCAGCTGGTGCAGCTGGGAAAGGGCTGGATACTATCTGTTGTACCAGCCACATAACAGCTGGGTCAGAATAGCTGGGTGGAGCCTGAGGCTGTCTTACACTCACCTTGTTGGCCGTGGTCCTTGATGAATGATGGGGTCATTGTGGGGCTGCTTCTACCCTTCCACTCGTCTGCAGCTGTTTGCCCTGTGGCCCCACGGTCACACTGAGTCTCCACCAGATCCTTCTTTGGCCCCTCTCTCACCTGGAGCTGGGCCTGACTTTTAGGAGAAGGTTCTCTGCTTCCCACTTTCCTCCAGTCCCATCTCTTTCTAGGTCTCCTCTGCCTCCTGCCTTCAACTGACACCAGAGTCCCTTGGTCTTGGCAGATGTGTGAGGCTGGGGAAGGCACTCGGAGTCCAGATGTGATTGTGTTTATGTTTCCAGTGAGGGGTCAGAGTTCTGGACTAGAGCCGTTGGAGGAGGGGTGGCCCAGCTCCAGCCCCATGCCCCAGCCTTCCCTCTCCCCACCTCCCTCCTTCAGTCTGTGTATCTGGCCCTGTCCTTCTCAGAACCTCACACTCCAAATCCTCCAGCATCAGGTTGGGCCATCCTCCAGGAAGGACCCTTCCTCACACCTCATCGGAAGGTGAAAAGACCAGTGGAAAGATGCCTGGCTTTGGAATCTAAATACTATTGACTCAGTGTGACCTTGGCCCAGTTACATCATGTGGTGGAGCCTCGGTTCCATCATCTGTATAATAGGGACAACACAGTGTTGACCTGGTTTGAGAATGTGTGCACAGGGCTCTCTAGCTATTAGCTTATGTCTAAGCCCATTGATGTGCTTCTCCCCCAGCTCCGCCTTGCCTGGGTCCAGCTCCAGGGCAGTGCCAATCCCTGTCACAAGGTGATTCTAAAGCAGAATTACTGCCCCCTCCCCCGTCCTCACTGCAGCTGCAAACATTTTGTGTTGCCATTAGAAGTGACTTACTTAAGGAAAGCAGAATTTTACAGGCAGTTTACAGGCTGGTCTTGTTCAGGAGTTTCCAAAAGCCAGGGAAAGGTGGAAGCAGCCGGGAGCCTCCAATAAGTTGGGATGGAAGGGAAGTGAGAAGTGAGTCCTGTGTGATGGACACTTTCCATGGCAAGCCACATGCCCCT